TGACCGAAGATTGTTCGGAGTCCCGGATGAGATCATGGACATGACGAGGAGTCTCGAAATGGTTGAGAGGTAAAGATTGATATATTGGACGATAGTATTCAGACACTGGAATGGTTTCGGGTATTTATCAGAGTACCGGGAGGTTATCGGAACCCCCCGGGGGAAGTAATGGGCCACATGGGCCATAGGGAAGAGTCAAGGCAGCCCACAAGGGGTCCCCCCCATGGGGAGTCCGAATTGGACAAGGGCAGGGGGCACCTCTAAGGCACATCAATTGTTCTTAGCCGTGTGCGGTGCCCCCCTCCACCGTTTACTCCTCCAGTCATATTATCGTAGTGCTTAGGCGAAGCCCTGTGCGGATCACTTCACCATCACCGTCACCACGCCGTCATGCTGACGAAACTCTCCCTCGACACTTTGGTGGATCAAGAGTTTGAGGGACGTCATTGAGCTGAACGTGTGCTGAACTCGGAGGTGACGTACGTCCGGTACTTGATCGGCTGAATCGAGAAGACGTTCGACTACATCAACCGCGTTAAACTAACGCTTCTGATTTCGGTCTACGAGGGTACGTTGACACACTCTCCCCCTCTCGTTGCTATGCATCTCCTAGATAGATCTTGCGTGATCGTAGGAATTTTTTTGAAATTGCATGCTACGTTCCCCAACAATATCATTCTTGAAGCAGTTGCATCACATGATCTTTGTATTTGGCACGCTTACTTTGGCATGCCCTGGTCTCACAATGACATCAATGTGTTGCATCGATCACCATTATTTGCAAGGCTGGTTGAAGGAAAAACTTCATGCCACTATACTGTTCAATGGACATGAGTACAACATGGGCTACTATATGGTTGACAGTATCTATCATCTGTGGGCTACCTTTGTCAACATCATCTATAACCCAGTTGGCCAGAAAATATATCACTTTGCTCAAAGACAAGAAGCAGCTAGAAAGGATGTCGAGAGGGCATTTGAAGTTCTGCAGGCCCGTTTTGCACTTGTTCGTGGACCTGCTAAGTAATGGGATCCAGAGACCTTGTGGGAGTTGATGACATGTTGTGTGATTATGCACAACATGATCGTGGAGGATGAGGGTGAGGATGCTGTCGTAGCTCTAGAATTTGAGAACATGGGTGATCCTATCAAACTTTGAGACCAGAATATGACCACATTTGAAGAGTTTATTCAAACGCATCAATAAATTCGGCATCGAGCAACTCACGAGCAGCCGAAGAAAGATCTTATTGAACATCTGTGGGTTGTTAAAGGAACAACAATGTTAGAATGTAATATTTGTTTTTTTTTAATTTAAACTACCGCTGCATTTAAACATTTGAACGTGTGTAGTCTATGTATGCTGCCATTGAAGTGTGGACTTTAAAAAAAATAGGGAGACCGGATATATTCACGCAGCGTTGGATGGCTGCCTTTCGCGTCCGTATCTGTGAACTGGTCCCTCTGTCTGCGGACGGATGAGGGAGGAAATTTGCATGGTGGACGTTGGAGATGTCCTAAAGCTGTTGGGCTGCTTTTGAACAGCATCTATGTCACCCGCAAAAAAGAAAAGAAAAAAGAACAGCATCTATGTGCACAAGCTACGAGAGTTCACTGAGTGTGTATTTTTAACAGCGATCCATCGAATTTAGACCATGTCCCTACATATTAAAGCTACAACAGTTCAGAATTTCAATCTTTTAGGTGACATGTGGGTGGTTCTCGCACACATGACAACCCAATTCAGCATATTCGGCAGATGAGAAATAAGATAGTAAAATGGTTCGTGTCCTCCACCACGAGATAATAAAATGGTTAGCATTCCTTAACCTACGATTTTTCACAAAATTTACACGTTATCGTTTCATAGCATTCTCTTGACCTATGGAATGTTTGATCACACATTCACACCTTTGTTCACATGATCAGCTATTCAAGGGCCAGAGAAAGCACTTCCCTCGCAAAACAAAAAAAGGAAGCACTTCGGAATAAGTATTTTTTCCATACCGGAGGATAAGATTTTCCAATTCAGTGGCCACTCTTGAAATCCTAGGAGCAACTGAAGTAGACATGCAGTTGGATCGAACAAGCGGGTGTAATTTGACCGCATATATTAGGGTTGTCAAAGTGACTGATGTGGAGACACATAGGACTGATGGCATGCATCACCATTCAGTTGACATTTGCAGTTAATGGGCAAAGCCTACGACATATAGTTCATAGTAATGACCAAAAGGAAAACTTTATAACCTGGCGCGCTGAGGTAAACCATTTATTTTCTACAAAAGCAAAATAAAAATATATACATACAATATCTCAGCAAGCTTAGGACATCACACACTAGCTCTGCTCTCCCCCACAGAAAAGCAGCATGGTATTGCTGAACACAGATGATGGAGATTCCAACAGATCTGGGGAAGATTAAAAAACAAACAAGATGTGTTATACATAAGCTATCACAACTCCCACATGCCTTAATCAGGAAATAACCTTCTCAGACACTAGCAGTTGCCGGTCAATTTTTAGCAACAACTAGGTTTCCTTTTGCAAAAGTGATGAGATGCGTTAGCATGCAGTGCTACCTAGTACCCTGTGATTTGTTTAAAAACTGGGACCATTGAGTGATCTGTGCACTTCCTTCATATTCTAACATCATGGTACCACTTGCTGCTGCATGCATGCTTTGCCCCTAAACCAATGGATATAACACAGCCAAGATCTTTAGAAGTACTCCCTCTGTAAAGAAATATAAGAGCGTTGTAGTGGTCCAAACGCTCTTATATTTCTTTACAGAGGAGTATACAGTACAATAAAAGACCCAACTTCACAAGTGTGCAATACAGCCATTTTTGTAAAACGGAGGCTCGCGATGAGCTCATCTCTGAATTAACAAAGTCATGGGCCGGCCAGGTTTACAAGGACCAACAACTTACAAAGAAACAAACGCGGCGGTTGAAAGATACGTAGTGCTGTGCAAACTGCTAACAAACATCAATCAGACAAGCAGCAAAAATCTGAAGTCTAGAGCACAAGCTCAGCTTGAAGTTGCTAAAAATCAGACAGACAGAAGCCGGGTCTTTAGGAGAAGAAACAACCAGCAGGTGAAGAAACGCCCTCGTCAGCTCCATGGGCTCAAGCCGATTCAGTAATAAGTTAATAACCTTCTCCATCTCCAATGGCGGCTCCCTACCCTCTCACTCTGGCATGAAGGGCGCCGATCCGTCTATGTGTCTGTACAGAGTTGTATAACTCAGACTAGTCTTTTAGAGTTGTATACAATCACTCTATCAGTACAGAAAAAAAATGTATAATCCAGGCAAGTCCTTTAGAAGTGTAACTCAGTACAACACAGACTTCCAGAAAAAAGAAAACCTTGGCAGAAAGATATCTTATGCAGAGGTCAGACAACTTTTTCTTTGAACATGATCAGACCACTTTGAAATGAACATACTAGCTGGCTGTCTTATTCAAGTTTGTGCAACACCAACTGAACATTAATGTATATAAAACAATACGATATGTTAAATATATAAAACAATACGATATGTTAAATGTTTGACTGCTAGGGTGGGAAAATATCAGGCAATTTACAACCATGAACCGCTACAAGAGCTGTCACCAAAAGTTTGGTACATGATGCCGCGGTTTTTAGTAGCAATACAATAGAGTTGCATTAGCACGGAGTACTACCTAGTACACTGTGATTTGATTATGAACTGGGACCAGCAAGTGATCTGTGCACATAGTTGGCTGAAGTATTTTAAGATCATAGTACAGCTGCTGCTGCATGCTTTGGCCCTGAACCAAAGAGAAAAAGGTGTACAGCATAACAAAGTTCTTTAGAATTGTAGTACGACACAGCCAACTTGTCTCTCTCACACACAGAATGCAACCCAGTACAAGAAAAGGGACATCTATAAAACATAAAAGAGAGACCCTGGGCAACAATGTTGACTATACTATGATTCTTTTAATTCCTTTATGGCATGAATTTCCAGGGTAACTGCAAATGAAAACACTCAGTGAGGCAAAATAATTGTGGACAGATTAGCTCACTTCGCAACGAGCGTGTATCCTGGCTAGCTGTTTGAATCAAGTGTATGCAACAGGAATACAGCCATAAGAATGAAACTGGTTAGGAAAATAGATGGTCAAGTACATAGAGTTCCAAGGGAAGTAAGAAACCAAACAATTTACAAACTTGTGTTATTCTTTTTTGAGGGGAAAATGGCAGGTGCTCTGCCTTTGCATTATAGATTAGGATTGTACAAGAGGAAAACACATTGGAGAAAGAGAGGGAGGAAGCATAAGAAAAACGAAAAAGCAGTGACCCCAGGGGCTGCCTGTACATGGATGTTTCAGCTAATGTTCTGCTACATTCAGCCGGATCAGGTGCAGATCATTGACAAGACCACCAACAACAGAGGCTGGACACGAGGCCTTGTTTGTGAAGATGCATCTGTTCCTTCAGCAAAGTATGCCCCTATATTCTAAGGGCTTTCTTAACAAATATTTTAGCCTTGACCAATTTACACAAACTTAATGTTTATATTGAAGGTATTGTGCAACGGTTACATAGATGGATCCAGTAGACCAGTACCGAGCTAAGCTGTTCCATTTAGATGGGAAACCAAAGTGCCATTCACAATGGATCTCTTTCAACTTTACGTCATCATTGCAGGAAAACTTTCAACAAGCTCACATATACCTCCTCAAGTTTACAACATAGGAAGAGTAAAAAAATTCTAAAACCAAACTGCTACAGATCAATAGGCCCTCCTCGGAGACAACGGTAAGCAAAAGTTTTTCACGTAAGAGCGAAAGAAAATGCAGGCACAAGTTTCACTGGTGACAAAACAAATATAAGGGAAACAAAATCTCCCCTAGCGTCGATCGCATGCCTTATGCCTTTCGTAACAAACACACAGAGAATACACCACAGGAGTATCATATACCAAGCTGCAAAGTCCTGGTATGGAACGAAGCAGCATCGGGCCATCTCAGTTTGGTGGACTATTATGGCCAATGCTAGGGCTATGACCTGGAGTTGTCGACTCGACTTGCTCAGCAGGCGCCTCCAGAGTGCCCCTTCCAGTGCAGGGAGGACGCACGCTGATGATAGGCGCCTTCACTTCTAGCCTCCTTGCATCAGCTGGCACAGGAAGCTGCATGAAGGCAGTACTGAGCAGCAACATGAAAACCACGACCGTATTTGATGAAATGGCCATGCTATCGATGAGAGAAGTAGCTAGTGGTAGCTAGCTTGAACAATGGAAGCGGGCAAGAATAAGAGCTGAAGACACAAGTTACTCACTCACTACTAAGATGGCTTACCACTAGAGCCAGCTCCCTTCTTTATATATACAGATTTTGTCATTATTTTAGTTCAAGAAAGATACCTTTAGAGGAGTCGAGTGATGGGAGGACAAGGGAGGTGATAACAACAATCTCCAGCCCATTGTTTACAACTTGGATGTCTCAACATATTTTTTTTCACGAATTTTATGCTCAAGGGAACACCTTTTCCCAATCCAGTTTTATTCTAAGAAACATATAAGCTTCTTCTACCTGGATAGACACTGTATGAAGTGAGGGTTATTAAAAAAAGCAATGGCATGTGAATATGCCTCAAGTTTGGCCTGAACTCTGTGACAGCCTGACAGGTATCAGTGTGATATTGTTTCCATGACCAGTCAGAGTGATACTTTCATGTGAATTATCCTTCTTACCAGCATGGTAATTTACTAATCTTTTTGCCAGTGCATCAATCAAACAAACAACTACTACCTTTTCTTTATTTAGTGTTACCAAAGACTGAAGGGGCAGTTACGAATCATCTAGTCACCAGCATATCATCCGTTATTCTAACGAAAGATCTCCTCGACAACCTAAGTTTAACGCACAAGTTGACCCAGTTGTACTAGTATGGCATACTTTGGGGGTCATGGAAGCCTCAGTAAGCATGCAACTTGCAAGCTTGAACTATCAAAGTGACATGTTCCAGTCAAAGTTTAAGGAAGAACAGCAAGTTGGATCTTCTATCAGAACTCATCAAGTCTTAGGTGGAGGGAACAAACAGCAAGTTGGAGCTTCTAATTGTGTTGCTCATAGCTGCATATAGAAAAGAGTAGCAAATGCCTAAAGCTATCATATATGTATAGGATATTGCACCACCAAAAATTGTTCCTTTTCTGTGGATCCCCATTTTCTAAAATTTCGGAAGCTTTGATTTGCATTTGGAAAAGGTGCTTTGAAGTCTTCTTTTGATTTGGAACCTTACTTCCTACTGGTTGGCTTGGAATTTAGCAAATAATTTATTTAAGGTTCTCTCATCCTATAATTCAACTAATCTCATTTTATTCACCTCCTTTTAACTCAATAACCCTAAAAGTGTCGTGAACTTCACCATGTGACATAAAAGCATGGGAATTTTCATCATCATTGCCACAACGCTTTTTTTACAGTTGTTAGCAAACAGTAATAGCAACCTCTGTTCCAAAAATAGGAACTACCACGTCTTCTAGAAAAGGAAGTGCCAACTCCCAGTAGTCATCAAGTGTGCATCCAACAGGATATGATTGAACGATGCTAAGAGTAGCAAATATTTAAGGTGAGAAACACACCTCGCCAGATGCCGCAAAGAGTTGTGAACTTGGGGCCTCTTTGATTCATAGGATTCTGAAAACACATACACACACACATGAAAAATGCTGGATTAAAATGGCATGTCTTCCTGAAACCTGCAGGATTGAGACCTATGGAAGTGACAACAAAGTGCGTTTGATTACAGTATTACACCATAGAGTTATCACAATGACTCATTAGGTATATGAGTTCTTCCAAGAGCTTAGACTTGACGTAAATATTTCTGTGGTATTGAATGCAAAGTGACAAATACTAAAAATTCTAAGATTTCTCATTCTACAAATGAAGGGGAGCCTTGGCGCAGTGGTAAAGCTGCTGCCTTGTGACCATGAGGTCATGGGTTCAAGTCCTGGAAACAGCCTCTTACAGAAATGTAGGGAAAGGCTGCGTACTATAGACCCAAAGTGGTCGGACCCTTCCCTGGACCCTGCGCAAGCGGGAGCTACATGCACCAGGTTGCCCTTTTTTTTCTCATTCTACAAATCAAACAACTAGTACAGGAAAAAATCCTCACAATTGAAATCCTAAAAATTTCTTTCAATCAGAGAGGCCTTTAAGGTCAGAAACAATGAAATATATCACAAAAGCAAAGCATTCACAATCTGCGTCTAATAAAGATGTCTTGGTCTCACAAAAGTTTCAGAACTGGTAAATCATCCCAAACTGCAATATGAGATATTATTTTCCTTGTCAAAACTACAGTTAGTGCATAAAGCAACCTAGGGTCTTATTCAAACTAAATATATTGTAGTTTGTTTTGCCATATAGTTACCTGAAATCAGGATACCGCAATTTATCACTTAGTAAGCAATTAGCTTCTGCAGGTTCATTTCATTGACAATACACCTACACAAGAACAGGATACACCATCACCATACAAGCACCATCGATACATCAAATATGCACCATATTACTAATTTGATACGCCTCAACAGGGAATTGTGAACTTGTGGTCAAATGACAGACCCCAAAAGGTGAGGATGTAGGAGCACTTCCCTATCACTAGTGTTAGGAAGACCAAAGGAGAAACATATGTGTTGACTTGCTAATGATTTGCAAAGCCAAGCAATAATAGTGATAATGAATTAAAAGCAGACGACTAATTCCAGTATTTTGCAGAAGACAACAGAAAATGTAACAAGAGGTTGCTTCTGATGTAAAACTAATTAAGTACTCGAATTCTCCATTTGTGATGTCAACATAAATCTTGCCAGGCTAATCAGTTCAGGGGTTGCTATCCCTCTTCTTTTATTTGGAACCTTGCTTCCTACCGGTTGGCTTGCAATTAAGCAAATAATTTATTTGAGGTCCCTCAGCCTTGGTGACACAATACAGGTAATCTCATTTTATTCACCTCCTTTAATTCAGTAACCCAGAAAGTGTGGTAAACTTCACCATATGACATAAAAGCATGGGAATTTTCATCATTATTGCCACGACGTTTTTTACAGTTGTTAGCAAACAGTAAATAGCAACCCCTGTTCCGAAAATGGAACTGCCAGGCTTTCTAGAAAAAGGAAATACCAACTCCCCGTAGTCATCAAGTGTCCATCCAACTGGAAATGATTGAAAGATGCTAAGAGTCACAAATATTTAAAGTGGGAAACACACCTCGCTAGATGCCACTAAGAGTTGTGAACTTAAGGCCTCTTCGATTCGCAGGATCCTGAAGACACAGATATAGGAAAAACACTGGATTCCAATGGCATGCCTTCCCGAATCCTGTAGGATTGTAAACCATAGGAAGCGGCTTCAAACTGTGTGTGATTACAGTATTACACCATAATAGAGTTTAACATAAGAGCTCAGGAGGCACATGAGTTCTTCCAAGAGTGTTTAGACTTGATGCAAAGTTCCTGTGGAATTGAATGCAAAGTGGCCCACAGTGAAATTCCTAAGTTTTCTCATCCTACAAATCAGACAACCGCTATAGAAAAAATTCCTACGGATTGAAACCCTAGAAAATTCCTTGCGCTCAAGGAAGCCTTTAAGGTCAGAAAAATACCTCAAAAGTAAAGCATCCACAATATGCATCTAATAAAGATGTCTAGGCACTTGGTCTCACAAAAGTTTTTGTTTTATACTATCTCACAAAAGTTGCAGAACTGGTAAATCAGCTATAGTCTTTTCACCAAACTGTGATATCAGATTTTTTTTTCCTTGTCAAAACTACAGTTGATGCATAAAGTAATCTAGGCTCTTATTCAGTAATCACAAACAGTAATAGCAACCTCTGTTCCAAAAATAGGAACTACCAGGACTTCTTGAAAAGGAAGTGTCAACTCCCAGTAGTCATCAAGTGTGCATCCAACTGGATATGATTGAACGACGCTAAGAGAGCAAAAATTTAAGGTGAGAAACTCACCTCGCTACATGCCGCAAAGAGTTGTGAACTTAGCGCCTCTTTGATTCACAGGATTCTGGAAACAAAGACATATGAAAAATGCTGGATTCCAATGGCATACCTTCCTGAATCCTGCAGGATTGAAACCCACGGACGTGGCACCAAAGTATGTTTGATTACAGTATTACACCATAGAGTTAACACAAGAACTCAAGAGGTATATGAGTTCTTCAAGATCTTAGACTTCAGGTAAATTTTCTGTGGTATTGAATGCAAAGTGGCACATACTAAAAATTCCTAAAATTTCTCATTCTATAAATCCAACAATCACTATAGGAAAATTTCCTCAGGATTGAAATCCTAAAAAAATCCTTCCAATCAGAGAGGCCTTTAAGGTCAGAAACAATGAAATATATCACAAAAGCAAAGCATTCACAATCTGCAACTAATAAAGATGTCTTGGTCTCAGAAAAGTTACAGAACTGGTAAATCGTCCATATTAGTCTTTTCACCAAACTGCAATATCAGATATTCTTTTCCTTGTCAAAACTACAGTTAGCGCATAAAGTAACCTAGGTTCTTATTCAAACCAAAATCTGTTATAGTTTGTTTTGCCAGATAGTTACCTGAAATCAGGATACCCCAATTTATCACTTATTACAACAGGATGGTTACAAGGAATTAGCTTCTGCAGGTTCATTTCATTGACAATATACCCGCACAAGAACAGGGTACGCCAGCCCCATAAAAGCACCATCCGTACATCAAAATGCAAGAAGTGAGTATGTAGGAGCACTTCCATATTACTGTGTTAGGAAGACCAAGGAGAAACATATGTGTTGACCTGCTAATGATTTCAACGCCAAGCGATAATACAGATGATGATTTAAAAGCAGACGACTAATTCCAGTATTTTGCAGAAGACAACAGAAAATGTAACAAGAGGTTCCTTCTGATGTAAAACTAATTAAGTAGTCGAGTTCTCCATTTGTGAAGTCAACATAAATCATGACAGACCAATCAGTTCATGGCACAACATATCTGTAATTGATCATGGACACCATCTAGCAGCAAGTTACAATATCAGACGATGTACATCTCTATATACCACTATATAGTGCCTAATGTCAATCCATACAAGCAGTACATGAGGCATACACAACCTGAAGTGCTGAAAAGGACACACAACAGATCTATCTCTTATGAAGAAGATTTTCTGTTTCAGGCATGACTCCCTCCTTTGGTGCTACCGAGCTTGGATAGTAGGTAGAGGCAACCTGAAGAGAGGAAGATAGATCCAGCGAAGCAGAAGAGGTCAGTACACGACGTGATGGTCACCCTCTTGCTCTTCTCGGAGATGCCAACCAGCAGAACCAGGACGATTACATGACCCAGCTTTGTCTTGAGGTCACTCACCGAGCGGATTTCCAGCCACTTGGGCCGTTCCTGCCGACAGAATCAGAGATATAAGGACACTGAATCAACCACATTATCTCTATGATAATTGAGAGGAGACCAACCGGAAGCTTGAACAAGCCAAAGAGGCTGGAGCGGTCATGGGACTGTTTTGCGATGTCCATGTTACTGATGAACAGCTCGTACAGGCCCGTCCCGAAGACAAACATGACCGTGCCGATGAGATACATATCTGAGGTGAGACAAGTAATGCACAATGGTCAGGCATCACAACTATATAAACTGATGGTATGTATATGTAAAACTGGTGACAATTGTGCCAACATGTAAAACTTATGCCAGTGGTGAACTTGAAGGTACTGGTGGTGGATTGTGCAAAGATTAATGAGATGAGACAGTTTGGTTACCAATGGCTTCAATCAGCATGAGCACCACCTTTGCATCACCGCGCAAGTAGTATTCCACGAAGGCGTCCATCACAAAAGTGCAGCCCTGGGTGACCAACCAAGTGCACGGGTTAAAAATCAGATCGGGAGACACGGAGATGAACTTGGCAGGCCGATGAATCAAGCAGGAAAAGCACCTTGAGGAAGCAGAGGACCGATCCGGCGAGAGATCCGGCGATGCCGAGGAAGGCCATGAAGCGGCAAGCGTAGATGACCTTCTCGATGCCCGCCTCCAGGTCCGACCCGAATCCCGCGCGGGGCAGCCCAAACGGGCGGGACCGCACGCCGTGGTCGGGCTCCGCGTGCACGGCGCTCGCCGCCGCCGCCGCGGCCGCGTGGGGGCCAGGCTCCCCCCTGACCCTCACGCGCTGCCCCGGCCGCGCCCTCGGCCTCGGCCTCCACGCCCAGCCTCCGCGGCACCCCGCGCCCACCGAAGCCTCGGCCGCGGCCGCCGACGCCACACCGGAACCGAAGGGTCTGGGCCTCATCATCACTGCCGCTTCGATTCAACCCTTCAACGGCGCGGAGCTGGTGGCTAAGTAGGCAGCCGCGAGCGAGGGAGCGCCACAAGTGGGGCGCCACGTTCGGTGCACCGTGTCGGGTGCGGACGCGGAGGGCGACGGCGACGGCGACGGCTCTCGCTCGTCGGGTTGCGGGCCGACGAGCCCACGTTGGCGGGGGACGAAGAGAGTCCCCCCTTTCCCGCGCCGTGCATCCCGTCCGGCCGGTTGGTGAAAGGGATGGAGATACTTCCGCGCTCGGGGCGATGATCTGGCGGCCTCGTGTCGTCGTCGTCGTCGTCTTCCCCGGCGAGCCTCGGCCACTCCTTTCCGCGGACTCTCTCGTCGGCGCCCCACAGGGCACAGGCGTGCACGGCTCGCGTCGTCACTCGCGAGTTTATTTTTTTTGGAAGCCACTGACTGGTTGGTTTCTTGGGCCACGCCCGCGGGCCAAATTCCAACGTCGCAATTTGAAGAGGCCTGTTCAGTCAGTCCGGCAAAAATGGGGGAACTCCTATACCGCGACTCAAATGGGCTGGGTCCAGCAGTGCAGTTATTTTTCTCTTCTTTCGTTTTCTTTTTATCTTTACATTTTTTGTATCTTTTTTCTCTGTTCTTTGAGTAAAATACACTAATATTTTGTCACATGTGTGAACCCTGATTTTTTAATTATGTGAATATTCTTTTTCAAAACATGATCCATTTTTAAGCTATATGGAGATCTTTTATGTACATCTGTTTTTGTAAAAAAATGTATTAAAACATAAAGAACATTAGTTTTATATGAGTGAAAAAATTCAAAATATAAATTTCCTTACAAATGCATGTATTGTTTTTAGAAAAATACACGTGAAAAATATATGAGCTTTGTTTAGCATTTTCGGAGGTGTCAGAAAATATTTATTGCGTATCAAAAATGTGTTTTCATGTGTTTAAAATGTTCATATATGTTTTGAAAGACATGGTTAGATTTCCTAAAATATTAACATGTTGCAAAAACAGTGTTAATGTATCTCTAAATAATATACATGCATTACTTCTACCAAAACATAAAGAAAATAAAACATAAAATACACAAAAAGGGTAAAGTAACATCAAGGGAAAACAAATAAACAAAAATAAAATAAAACAGAAAAATAAAAATAAAAACTATTATAACAACAAATGGAAATAGGAAAAAGGAAAATGAAAAATGAAAAGAAAGGGAAGGAAGAAACCCGGCGCTACCAGGCGGACCAACGGCGGAGCGTGCCTAGGCGACCATGGGCTATTGCTCACAAAGAGTGGTATACAGAATTTGCTGCAAATAGATGATTTCTCAGTGAAAGAGCCGGAGCCTGCTCTACCATCCTTCTCCAGGCTCTCAACAAATCCTCCATCTTCTTTCTACTTTGTGTTAATTAGTGAAATCTCTGGGGTTAGGTTGAAATATGTTGTCAAATTAGCAGATGTTTAGATGTTGAAGAAGATGAAGCAAAGACATGTGCTGTAGATTTGCAAATTGCTAATAACATTACTCAGGCACGTATTGTCCTAGAGTCTGATAACTCTGCTCTTGTTGGAGTCATCAGAAGTGAAGTCTCGTCATGATGACTTTTGGGTGAGAAATATTGGAGAGTGTGATTCGGTAGCTCATCACCTAGCTTTGTTGGCTAGAAGCCAGGGCATAGATGAAACCTGGTTAGACCGTATTCCTGATCCTTTTGTATGAGCCTGTTGGTTCTGACAATGTAACCCGTGATGCAATAAAGGAATGAAAGCACTCTGTTCCCTAAAAAAATAATTTGTTGCCACTTGGTTGCTGTTTCACCAGGATGTTTATTTACTACTAGTGGTTGGTGCGCCGCTTGAGAAGAAGTTGAGGCGGTGCCAGGTGGGATGCACTCCTTTCACTTTCTTATTTATACTAAGTATGCTGTTATTGGATCACACTTCTTTTATTTTACCAGAGAATAAATAGAAAGTGGAACAGAAGTTAAAGTTGCAAGCAGCAGATAAAGATGTATTGAAGATTACATTAACATAAACCGGACTTTTCTCCTGCCAGGGCAGTTAGAAACTTGCATACAGATAACAAGTATTGTCTCTTCAAGAAGTATTACATAGTCCGCATTGCATTCCACAGATGCTTTTGACAGTAAGATGACAGAGATAACCAAACATTGCATATGTTCCTAGTAGGAAATTTCCTTGGTGGCCATAATTCACTTAGCAGGATAGCACCTGCACTCTACACGATTTAAAATGAGAGTTATTTGAATATCAAGGCCTTCTTTCATAGCTATGAATTTTAGATTGCATTCAATTGCACGTAAGTAATTTCATATTTAAAGGCAAAGGTAGATTGTCCTCCTGTAATTTACATAGCACAATTTGACAGCAGGAATGTAAATGCATAGGCTTTCCAAATATGTGAAGCATAGTAGGTTATTACCAAAAACCGCCAGTAAAAGAGCACTAATTCAACTATATCTTTTGTGCTGCGAACCTAAAGCACATGCTCTGCTCAGTAATAGATTCATTAATTAAATAAGGGAGGAGGAAGCAGAGCACATCACACAGGCTTGCATATATACAGAGAGGAATTAGGGGAAGCTCTCCTTGGAGTGTTGGCATTAGCAGTGTTCATTGTCGCTTCACAGGTGCGCCGCTTCCTAAGCCGCGTTGGCCAACTCTCTGTTTTTGTCAGCTTCATGACATGATCAATAGGGTAGCTGGCAGGATCAAGTACTCTACCAGGTCTAGGGCGTAGGTGGTAAGGGAAGGATGGAGGGAGACGTGGCGAGGATCGGGCGCGCCGGCGGCAGGGCGCCGTCGCGGCTAGGAGAAGGGCGGCGGCTAGGGCTGTTGGCGGCTAGGGTTCCGGCTCCTCAGGGAGCCGGGCAATAGGAGATAATATTCTTCTTATTGCTTGCCTTCAAAAAGAGTCTTACAACCTATATTTATATCCTAGATAACTTGTAGAAGAATCAACCTAAGATAACTTGCCTAAGATAACTTGCCTAATCTGAAAATAAAAACTAAGATAACTTGCGGGCCTAAGCCGGCCGGCCATAACACTTCTCCCCGCCTGCACAAACAGCTCGTCCTCGAGCTGTAAGGTGGGGAAGCGCTTGCTTGAACTCTTCGAGGTAATCAACCAGCGTCAAACACCTTCTCGACATCTGGGGCGGCCAGGTCGGCGGCGACGGCGTCCTCCGGAATGTAGTCTGCCACCTCCAGGTAGAAGAGTCGCGGGCAGGCGTGGCCGGGCTTGTAGGGTTCGTCGCAGTTGAAGCACAACCCTTGGCGGCGACGCTCGAGTATCTCAGCTGGGGTGAGCCGGCGGAACGGGCGCCCCGCGGTCGCGGCGAGGGGTGCCGCAGAAGCCTGCACAGGCCGACCCTGCGCGGAATCCGGTCCGGGTAGCGACCCAGCAGTCTGGGACGGTGATTCCTGCTGGATGGCCACCGCGCGGCGCTCGAATGCGCGGGCGTAATACATGGCCGACTGGAGATCCTGGGGTCCCCGAAGCTCCACGTCCACGCGGATATGGTCCGGTAGACCGCCCACAAATAACTCGGCGCACTGAGTTGCGGAGACGCCCGGCGCGTGGCACGCCAGGGCCTGGAAGCGGTCGGCGTAGTCCTGCACCGTGGATGTGAAGGGTAAGCGGCCGAGGGCCGCCAGTCGGCTCCCGCGGATAGGAGGCCCGAACCGGAGGAGACAGAGTTCCCGGAAGCGCTCCCATGGTGGCATGCCACCCTCGTCCTGCTCGAGGGCGTAGTACCAGGTCTGCGCTGCGCCTCGAAGATGATAGGACGCGAGCCAGGTGCGATCCGAAGCGAGCGTCTGCTGCCCTCGAAAGAACTGCTCGCACTGGTTGAGCCAGTTGAGGGGGTCCTCCGTGCCCTCGTAGGTGGCGAAGTCCAGTTTGGCGAAGCGAGGGGGTGTCGGCCCGCCGTGCCCGGGGGCGGCCGTAGTTGCCGCCGGCGCGTATGCTGGGTCGGGAAGCGCCGGGGCGTAGTTCGCCGAGCTGGAGGGGTGATCAAACCGCAGGGAGGGCGTCGGGTGTTCCGGCGCCGTGGAGTAGACCAGCCCCGAAGACGAGCCGGTCGCCCAAGCGGGGATCGGCGATGGTGACGGTGGAAACTGCACCTGGTGCAGGGGCCGACCCGTAGCCCTAGGCGCGGGTGGTGGTACTGTCGATGGCGGCGGCGCCTGGTGGAGCTGCACCGGCGCCTGCGGCGTGGGGGCCGGCGGTGACGCCGGAAGAAGCTGTTGGGTCTGGCCCTGCTCCGAGGCGTCGGTGCCCAGGTTAGGGCTGGGCGGGGCCGGTGGAGGACCCTGCTCCGAGGCTGCTGAAAGGTAGGGCGCGACGGAGGACAGCGCGGCCGGCGCGGTCCAGGTGGGCCACTGCGGCCCCGTGGTGGCGAGAAGTGGCGGGGCTGCCGGCGCGATCTGCGGCGGCCACTGCGCCCAAGGCGGCCGTGCGGCCGCTGGGGCGGGGAGCGCCGGGTAGCCTCCGGTGACGGCCCCCGGTGCCGAGTACCACGGAAGCGCTTGCTGACCCGCGGCCATGGCTGGATGGAGTCCGGTGATGGCCCCCGATGCCGAGTACCACGGAAGCGCCTGCTGACCCGCGGCCATGGCTGGATGGAGTGGTGGGGGCGGCCCGTACGGACCTGCCAGGTAGAGGCGGATCCCTTGAACCGCGGTGACGAGGTCGTTGAGGACGCCCGCCATGGCCTCCGGCGTGAACTGTTGCGGCTGCGGGGAAGGTGATGGCGGCGACGAGTGTTGGACGGGGGCCTGTGGCTGCCCTTGGCCCGGCATGGTGCCGGGTGCCGTTAGGACCGGCGCTGAGAGCGACGCAGTGGTGCCCGCCGAGAGCGAGGCCGTGATGCCCGGCGCAGAGGCGGCGGTGGTGGAGGAGTTGGCGGGCAGCGGTGGTGGTGGCGGTGGAGTTGGCGGAGACATGGTCGAAACCCGGTTACCTGATACCAAATTGG